GTAGACGGGCCGTTATGCTTTTTCTGGATTTCCCGTTCCTGTAGTGTGTGTAGGTATTTGTGCTAAAATCCCCAAAGTTTGCTCGTTTCTCGTGCCATATTTTAGTTCCTGTTTCATCCATATAAAAAACCCATGTGTTCACATCTGTACCATCATGTTCTACCGATTCAATTTGATAAAATATCTGTATTTTCTACCTGTTTTACAACTTTTATGCAGTTAGTGTCTAGCAAGTACCTTATCCAGTTTGATCAAAAATATCCGATAGATAGTGTTCATGTAAATCTATATATTAATCAGCTACCGTGGCTACGATTATTTACAGTCTTTAAAACACTGCAGCACTACCTTTTGATTATTGCACATGCAACTTCAATTGCAATCGTGATATGATTTTTGCGACGTTTGAGGGAATAATCATTCTGTAACTTAATTCACATTATCATTGAAAAATACATTTTTGATTTAGATTTTTTAAGAACATCTGCGACAAACAAGATTTTCTATAAGTTTTTTTTTTTATGGTCCGGTCTTCTCTGCAGCTCCACAAAACTTCATTCAGATATTTTCCACACAATTTGGACTTTTACCAAAAATGTTGGTCTTACTGCGATTTCAAATGTATGGTGCAGCGTTACAGCAGCTGAAGGAGAAAGAGACTCTGTGATCCTGCAGCAGAGACATGACACAGTGTCAGAAATCCTCCTGCCTTCATCCTTCAGCTTTCCTTCATCTTCATCTCCTCTTCATCTTCATCCCCTCTGCTCTGACGCCTGCAGGTTATTTGTTCTGCTGTCCATCATCTTTTCTCCTTTTACTTCCTGTTGTAATTACTCCTCCAGCCTCTGTCTGAGAGGACGAGGACACTCACTCGGGGTTTGACCTCTGTTCCTGTCAAAGTGGTCATATTTCCCGCTGCACTCGAACACCTCTCGCCAGTTTCATGTATTTTTAAAGAAGCTACTGGCAGGTTGGTGTATTAATAATAAAAGTTAAAAAATTATAATAATACAAAAATACAAAATAGAAATTGCTTTCTCATAAAAAACTAATAATTGAAATAAAAGAAATACGAACCAAAAAAAAGTGTATTAATAATAAATATAACACTTTTTTTAAAGTTATAATAATATTACAATTAATAACACTGAACTGTATTTACATAGAATACAAAGGGCTTTCAAAGTCACGTAAAATAAATAAATATGATATCATAAATCTAACTAGTTATAGTCTGTGTTCATGGTGACCATCTTTCAACAAACCATAGTTTTCTCCATGATATAAACATGTTTACTTTGTTTGTCCACTAGCTATGTTTTTAAACGCAGAATTCCAAGAAAGGAAATCACATCTCTATACCAGGGCGTCCGCGGGGTCTTAAAAAGTATTAACAGTTGATCAATCAATTTAGCGAAAATTAAGGCTATTAAAAAGTATTAAAGGGCATTTTCCAAGGTATGACATTTTGTAGCTTGTTTTCAATAAGTATATAAATGGTCCAAAGAGGTTGTATTCTACAGTCTGCCTGAATGTAATCATTGCGTAGGTGTGTAGTGTGATTCTGTGTAGTTTATTTGTGGCATCCCGTTGGATTTGACGTCATCTGAACAGGACATCGCACGCTCACTGCTTGATGACGCGCGAAGGTCCGTTTACGCCGGTTGTTAAACAACATCGTTATGGGGAAATGCAAGTCTGCGTCCAAATGGTTGGAAGATAAGGAGGAAGGACAATCAATACTGTACTGTATATAGGAAATGTGAGGTAAAGTGTGTTACCAAGGTAACCGGTTAAAACTCCAAGTGGCGATGAGGTCTTAAAATGTATGGAAAGGGTCCAAAGATCCAAAAATACTTACAGATTCAAAAATACTTAAAGTTGCAAAAATACTTAAAATTCCAAAAATACCGTAAATTCCAAAAATATTTAAAGTTCCAAATATACTTAAAGTTCCAAATATACTTAAAGTTACAAATATACTTAAAGTTACAAAAATACCGTAAATTCCAAAAATACTTAAAGTTCCAAAAATACTTAAAGTTCCAAATATACTTAAAGTTCCAAATATACTTAAAGTTCAAAAAATACCGTAAATTCCAAAAATAGTTAAAGTTCCAAATATACTTAAAGTTCCAAATATACTTAAAGTTCCAAATATACTTAAAGTTCAAAAAGTACCGTAAATTCCAAAAATACTTAAAGTTCCAAATATACTTAAAGTTTCAAATATACTTAAAATTCCAAAAATACTTAAAGTTCCAAATATACTTAAAGTTCCAAAAATACCGTAAATTCCAAAAATACTTAAAGTTCCAAATATACTTAAAGTTCCAAATATACTTAAAGTTCCAAAAATACCGTAGGCCTACATTCCAAATATACTTAAAGTTCCAAAAATACCGTAAATTCCAAAAATACTTAAAGTTCCAAAAATACCGTAAATTCCAAAAATACTTAAAGTTCCAAAAATACTCCAAATGGTTGGACGATAAGGAGGAAGGACAATCAATACTGTATATAGTAAATGTGAGGTAAAGTGTGTCACCAAGGTAACCGGTTAAAACTCCAAGTGGCGATGAGGTCTTAAAATGTATGGGAAGGGTCTTAAAAAAGGTCTTGAAAGGTAATAGATTTGACTTCAGGATTCCTGCATATACCCTGTATACGTCAGATTGCCGGGCAGTTTAACAAGTATATAAAGCTCCTGGTCTAAAGTGAAGGTAATGGCCTACTGCTGTTTCATCTCCTTTTGAACGGGATCTTTGGCAGGTTTGTTTTTATTTCCTCCTCTTACTCTCCTCCTTCTTCTCCGCGCTGTCATGAGAAAACACTGTGAAGCTCCATGATGGCGTTTTATTTCCCCCTCTCTCGTTTTATTCCCTTTGTCTTGTCTTGTCTTGTTTGTGTCTGCTGGTAAAACTTCAGAGGTCTTTCTTTCCGTCAAAGAAACACTCTTTACCTCACAGAGTTTTTCAGTTCAATCCTCACAGATGAAGATCTCTCAGACACTTCACAGTCCATTTATTAAAGTGTTAAATGCATTAATACATGTAAATTGCATGACTTGAAGTGTGAACGAGATAATTTTCACCGCAGCGCCTCAGAAGTGGTGCTAAAGTCAGGAATTAAGTTTAAAATGCATCAAAGCGCGGAGAAAAGTGTTGATAAACAGCAGCACTCCTCAGTCTGCTGCTTTTTAATCTACCAGCTGCAGGTTCCAGCGATTAGACACGTCCCATCGGCAAGTTAATTTAAACATTTTTAAAACATATTTATTGACATGCATATCTTTCTGCAGCATTAATATTTCAGTCCTGATATATGATGTGCATCCTTCTCTTACTTAGTAAATCGGTACTACGTGATATTTAATAAAACCTTTAGGAATATTGTAAGAACGCTTTAGCAACATAACAACAACGTACGCAGGATTTCAAAACGTTTCAGGAGATCAGAAACTTTTTGGAGGGTGTTTTAATATGCGTGTGTGTGTGTAGCTAACATATGGTCTCTCTAAACAAGCTCTGCATCTGAATGAGCTAACACACACACACACACACACACACACACACACACACACACACACACACACACACACACACACACACACACATATGGGTAGTATATTGCTTCATGTGTGCCCTCTGACCCCTCTGAAGTAGTTTAACTGTTATCAGCTATAAATAGAAAGACGTGTGTGTGTTATCAGGGCGACCAGCAGCTCTGATCTATCCCGTAAGTCACCGAAGCTCCTGCTGTCTATTGATCTGGCAACCCTCCCTGACACACACACACACACACACACAATCTCATCGCCTGCCAACGTGTTCACTGAACACCCTCCATACAGATGGTCGGAACTGATGAAGAGGGAGAAATAAAGTGTGTTCATCAGCATCAAAAATACCAACATCCAACCTCCTTTTTAATTGTGTTCCTCCTCTTTTTCCCCCTTCAATAGATGATTGAAGAATCTCTCCTTATCCCTTCTCTTTTTTGATCTCAATAAACATCAATAACGGCTAAATAAAAAAACTAATATTAAGGTTGAATTAAATCGATGTTAAGTAGACAAGGATATGAACATAGGAGGAAGTGAACAGTTACATATACTGTACATACAAACAGTTGGTGCTCTTATTATTGATTTTCCAGCAGGTATACACACACACACACACACACACACACACACACACACACACACACACACACACACACACACACACACACACACACACACACACACACACACACACACACACACACACACACACACACACACACACACACACAACACGCACGCACGCACGCGCACGCACGCACGCACGCCACACACACACACACACACACACACACACACACACACACACACACACACTCACACACACGCGCGGATACACACATACACACACACACACACACACACACACACACACACACACACACACACACACACACACACACACACACACACACACACACACACTCAGCCAGAGTAGTAGTTTTGGATGAGATTTGGCTTAAGGCGTTCTGCTGACTTTTTGACCTCTCTGTGGTAGCTCAGTGACGTACTGTACAGTGTGTGTGTGTGTGTGTTTTTTGTTGTTTTACTCTTATTTTCTTTGTGTGAGTATCCGAGACTTCTATGTTTCAGTGTCCAAATGAGACGACTTAGCGTCATCACAACCA